AAAAAAAAAAAAAAAAAAAGACTTTTTAAGGATCTGCAGGGACCTTGTTCACCTTTGCAAGCTGTCTGAGGTGAATACATTTTGTCCCTCTGCTCATATAATAAGCAAAAACTTTAATAATGACATACAGTGCAAGATAAATMAACAATTTTTAAAATAAGGTACATGAGTGGTGAGGTGGGAGAAACCTTTGAGAAGCTGYTGCTAACACACGAGCTGAAGCTTTACAGATTTACCATACATGACAAAATGCAGCAACAAGTCTCTGACAGCAGCTTCCACACTTTCAGGCTTCGAAAAGGGGGAAACAAAAAAAAAAAGAGGGGTCGTGTTTTTAACGAAAACAAAAGCTTTTCATGCAGAAAAACTCGTTCAGAAGCCATTGAAAAAGCGCCAACGAGTGGCTATCAACCCGGTATAAAACCAAAACTCGAGCGGTGGAGCTCGGAGCGGACTGATAATGACACATCGTTCTTTTCACTCTTAGAGAAAAGGAAAAAGAGGAAGAGAACGTGGGAGATAAAGAGGGAGAGAGAGCAATTTGCTCTTTATTAAACTCATACTTGGTAATGGCCTCATTCTCTGCTCTCAAAGACTCCATTTACACCCTGGATTACAGGGAAAAGCATAAAAGGGGGATACACATGCACACACAAGCCTGACTGTCAGTATCTTGGTGACTGTAATGCCCTAATGCCCCATATGAATACCTGGAGAGACGTAAGGGGACAGTAACAGATGATTAGACAATCTCCTTTCTTTCTTTCTTTCTTTCACATCCATCCTGTTCCCCTCTTACGTCCAACTTTCTTGAGCTGTCATTTCCATTTTGTCACCTTTATCCCTTCACTTTTTGTATTCTTATTCTGACGCTACATGCACATGATTCATCTTGTTTTCCAATTCGCTTCTCCATCATGCCTTTCTTCGACGACAGCTTTTTATTCAAACTCCAAATGGGCTGAGTTTGATCAATAGAGCACTAAACTCATTATCACACACACACAAGCACTGTGTGTTAAGAAGTCTATTGTGTGGGCTGAATGCAGAAAGTGTAATTCCCTGGATAAAGTATAAAGAGAGATGAGTGTCCATTAGCAGGCCAGCCACATTTAAAGTGATACCTCGACATTGTTCGTTTCGGTCCGGAGTCATTGAGAAGATGAAATGCTGCGTGATGTGAATGGAGAAACGTTGTGTCTAATGAGCTCAATATGCTTCAGGTTTTTTTGTGTATTTGCATTAAGCAAACATTTGGTTTGTTCTAAGGAAGATGAAAACCATAGAAAACATCCCGCACATGCCTCACAAAAACACAAARACAGAAATTTATTAAAAACTCTGGSAAAATAGGAAAAAAATGTATTAATCTTAAAAGAAAGCACCGCAACCTCCAGTAGCCTACAAATCTGATTGGTGCATCTCTAGTTTTACAAAACATTTGATTATTCAAGAAGAACGGAGACATGTAAGCTGATGAAAAAGACCATATTGTAACTTTTTTTTCCTTTTTTTAAATAAATGCTGTATTCTTTGTTTAATACCTCTTTTCCCAGGAGTTGAGGCCCAGGATGTTGATCAGCAGCCTGCAGTAGTAGAAAGCAGACTGCGGCGTCTCCGTCTCCGGTTCCGCCTGCTGCACCGCCCGCATGTTCAGCCCCTCGCCTCTCTGAAACATTCATTCTTTTTAGTTTAATGCACCTAAAGGTGCACAGGTAATATATAGAAATTAAAGCCATTGTGATGATCCTTTATTAAGTTATCATTAAGATGTGTCCATATGATCAAATCAGATTAAAAAAGGCCAAAAGCTCAGACATGTTCCTGCAGAAATATTCCCCAAATATTAAAATTATGTATATATTTTTTGCCAAATGTTGCATTTACTACTGATAAAAGCAAAATGTCAGTAAGAGTAGGGTTGGGCGGTATTGACAAAAATTTTTTTTAACCATGATTAATTGTGGCATTTAGCTGATCACAATTAATAGATGACAATTACACTTGCTGTAATCTAAAATTAAAACTTTCAAATCATCAAACTAACTTCTTCATTTTAACAGGTTAAAAACTGTGAATTGAAACCCACCTTTTCCACAATACTGAGTGGCAGCAATACGCCACGGGCTCACATACACACTTGATAGTGAGATGCACAGAAAAATATATCATCATCATGTGGCACTAATTGCGAAGTGGCAAATATTAATTTTTGACGGTTTTTCCTGAAGATTAATTGCACACAATACGATTTTGCCCAACCAAGTTACAGGTCTGTTATTTTAAATATTCTGTGTAAATTTGAAAACATAACAATGGTTCACTTCTTATTTATAATTCAAACTTGCTAAAATGACTAATTTTAAGCTTCAGCAGCCAAGTTTCTGCTTCATAAAGTTGTTTTTCATGAAGTTGAACTATTTCTACTTATTAAGAGCCTCTGAGTTACGCACATGGAGGACGAAATCTCGCTCTGCAGCGCTCTGTTTCAGGATGGCGTTGATCACATCGTTCTCCTGCTTCTCTGAAACGCACGTGGGAGGAAAAGCTGGGATGTTAAGTGGCATGCCTGCAAGGACCAATGAGAAGCCGAGATTAGTTTGGGTTCAGGACTTGTGGACGGATTTGAGACTGGGAAATGAACGACAGCAGGTGAGAAGTACACAGGTACCTGCTCTCTGCAGACACTCGGGACTCGAGTATCCCAGGTACTGCAGCATTTCATCCAAAGCATCGTCTCCTTCTTTCAGCGAATCCCACGCCGGCACCGCCTCTCTGCACACACGTTTAGCCAGCGGCGGAGCTAGAATCTGTTCCGAGCCTGACTCATCCCCCTCCCTCATCTCCTCCTCCTCCTCTTCCTCCTGCACCCCCTCTACTTCCTCATCTTCCCCACCATCTCCTGGCTCTGCCTTCTCCTCATCACTGACCTTCCTCTCCTCACCTTGCACCTCCCCGTCTAACTGAAACTCCTGCCCGTCACCCTCCGTTCCTTTTCCTCCCTCCACTTCCTGCTCCTCTTCCTCGCTGCCTTCTTCCCTCAGTTCCATCTTCTTCGGCGGACCTCCTGGCGGGGTGTGTAACTGGAGTTTAGCTCTGAGTGGCGACTGCGTCTGTGTTAAAAGTGCGTGTGCCGGGCTGCTCGGAGAGCACGGCGGAGGCCCGTAGAGGACGGCAGAATCCCAGGAGTGCTTCCCGGCAACGTCTCGGATGATGACACGAACGCAAGCTGGAGCAGAAGACAACCCAGCTGTCATTCCGCCTCCTGGAACGCCGGATTCTGATCGGATCTGGAAAAACAGGAAAAAGTGGAAACTAAAATCTCCAGAATAAAACTAATTTGAACCAAACACTCGTTTGTATAAAGTACCACAAAGTGATACTTGAGTAAAAGTACAATATGTTACCAAAAACTTACTATGGTAAAAGTTAAAGTCTCCTTTAGGAATATTACTTAAGTAAAAGTCAAAGTATCTGATGTGTTTTGTACTTAAGTATTAAAAGTAAAAGTATTGATTTAAAATGTGCAGTCAGATTTTCTGTAATGACATTTATTAGGAGGTGACCTCCCCCCAAAATGCAGAAATGACTTATATTGTATTAAAAATAATTAATTTATGTTAAATTTAGGATGCACTAATCTATTTGTTTCAGTTTATATACATATATCAAGGCTGCAAAAACCTTTTCCTCAAAATGAAAATCTATCTGTGGGCTGCAGCCAAATGCAATATAATTCATGAAATATAAATACTTCTTAAGTACAGTCCTTTTATTTTAATGATTATGTCCTGCTGGAGTGTGACATGRTTTGTTTGTGTACAAACTAATACAATATCAGAGTTTTATATATTTATTCTTTTCATTCAACCACAGTTAAATTCACTCTATCTAGGAGGCACAATTTATTTGGAGTGTATTTTTTTTTTACAATAACAAGCTGGAATGAAAACAAGCAAAAATTAAATAAAAGTAACAACTTTCTATTTCTTGCCTTTTTTTTAATCTAAGGAGTAAATAGGACAGATAACTGTGTGAAAATGTAATAAGTAGAAGTAAAAATTAGGCTGAAAAAGAATTACTCAAGTTAAGTACAGATTCCCAAAAATTCTTCTTAAGTACAGTAACTAAGTATTTGTACTTAGTTACTGTACAACTCTGCAAAATGAGCATTTATCAAAGGAACTTAAATCTGCTGAGTTCACCTGAAGCACCGACAGCAGCGTGGAGCCGTTCAGAACCAGAAATTGCAGGTTGGGTGAATTGAAAAGTTCTGGTCCCAGATCTGCACTCTCACAGAACGGGTTGTCTTGGTTTTCACACACCTGCAACAACATACAACATTTTCTTTTTTAAATTCCACTTCCAGTCTCATAACAAAAAAATATATTAACGTTATACTGGTGGCACCATTTCCACCATAAACACAAGGTTACTGTACCAGACTGGACAGAGTTGCAGGACCTCCAGACATGGGATAATGTCCCAAGTGATTGACCAGGTGGGTAATAACTGTTCTGGCTGCTATAGAAACAAGGCCTTGTTGAATACGGCTTCGAACTACAAGGAGAGGGGAAAAAAACAAACAAAAAAGATTTCAATTAAATACATACCATTTTCAAGGATTAGACACATGATCAGTGGTGGGCACAGGTCCCCTAAAGCACTAATAGGGGAACTAATTTCCTGATTAGTGCTTTAGGGCTTTTGCTAATTTCTTAATTTATTAGTGGATTAGCACTTGCTAAATTTATCATCATTATTGTCAACAGCTGAGGGTGAAAGTTGTCAGACGTGTTGCGTGTCAAATATCCACTAGATCAGTGGTGGTTTTCAACCTTTTTTGCTTCCGACCCACAAAATAACACGTGCAGACACTCGTGACCCCATATAGTATTACTTGTTTATGTACGCAAACTTTGCTAATAACTCTGTTAAACAGTGGGAATAATAACTATACACAAACCTTGTAACTATGATACTAACTTTTATTCATTTATAATTATTTCAAAAAATTGCAATAATTATGATTAAAATATTCCATTAGCATTTTTTTTTACATTTAAACTGATGTCTGAAAATCATCTGGCGACCCTCACATGGTGTTTTGTGGCCCACAAAGAGGTCCCGACCCCAACTTTGGGAAGCACTACACTATATGAAATATTAACAATATTCTGCACAGAGCTTGGAGAATGGACCATGTTCCATGCCTCCATTGGCGAGGCGGCTTATCGGAGCTGCGGCCGCAAGGTTGTYGGTGCCTGTCACGGCGGCAACCCTCGAACCCGTTGGTGGACACCTTCGGTGAGGGATGCTGTCAAGCTGAAGAAGGAGTCCTATCGGGCCTTTCTGGCCTACGGGACTCCAGAAGCAGCTGATGGGTACCGGCGTGCGAAGCCGCATGCGGCTCGGGTGGTTGCTGAGGCAAAAACCCGGGCGTGGGAGGAGTTTGGAGAGGCCAAGTTTTGACCAGTACAGATT